ACCCCTAACTCTTTCAACCCCTAACCTTCTATACCTTTAAAACCCAACCCTCTAAACCCTCTTAAACACCTAACCATCTAAACCCCTAACCTTATAAACTCTAACCTATAACGCTAAATCCCCAACCTAAATCCCAACCCATCTAAACTCCAATCCTCTAAACCAGAGGTTCCCAACCTCCAGGCCACGGACCACTACCGGTCCGTGGCATGTTAGGGACCGGGCCGCACAGCAGGAGGTGAGCGGTGGGCAAGCGAGCGAAGCTTCATCTGTATTTACAGCCGCTCATCGCTCGCATTACTGCCTGAGCTCCGCCTCCTGTCAGATCAGCAGCAGCATTAGAACCCTACTGTAAACTGCGCATGCGAGGGATCTAGGTTGCACACTCATGAGAAGTCAGAATCCGACACTTATTTTAGTCCGCGCGTAGCCCGCCCACTTCCGTCTGCGCCTCTTTCCCGTACTGCGCAGTTTTGGTAAGCTCACAAGCTAACCCTAGCCAAAATGAGTAAAAAAACAAACATCGCTGGAGAGCTTCTTTGAAAAGGGGGAAAGACCCAATGATGAACCCCCCCCCCCCCCCCCCCTCTGGTCCGTGAAAAAATTGTCTTCCACGAAACCGGTCCCTGGTGCCAAAAAGGTTGGGGACCACTGCTCTAAACCACTCACCCTCTAAACCCCAAAACCACTAAAACCATAACCCTTTACAACCCCAACCCTCTCATACCATAATAAAGGTTTGTTGGGTTAGATTGTGTAAATGTGTCGTTAAACCCGCCACCATCCGACAGCCAATTAGTAAATCTTGATTTGAAGCTTTTGTGACTGCAGGAATTCATACTCTTTGGTTTATTCGGTAAAGTAAGTAGTTAGAAATAAAATAAATTACGACGTTTCGATCGCAATACAAGCGGTCGTCATCAGGCAAAGGAGTCGGCCTCTAAAGGCAAACAGTTTATAAGGGTTTGGGATGGGTGTTGCCCAAGTGTATCAGCAGCACCAGGAGCATTGGTGGTACACAAGTGCCAATGCAGCAAAAATGCCAATGCAGAAACAATGCCAATGCAGCAGCAATGCGAATGTAGCAGCAATGTGAATGCAGCAACAATGCCAATGCAGTGGGTGAGAGAGCTGCCGTGGCAAGAGGTTACATAGGTAAGAAAGGGGGGAGGAGCAAGGGGGGAGAGAGAGAGGGGGGGGGGTGTAGGAAGATGGGGGGGGGGGGCGTGAGCGCTAAGGGGATAGAGGACGTGAAGCCTGGGGGGGGGGGGGGAAGTGGGCGGGGATGCAAGTGGGAGGCTGGGAACGCTGGGAATGCGGGGGGGGGGAAATAACTCGGAAAAAATAGACGAGTACCCGGCAGATATGATGGAACAACCATAAACAATTAAGGTTTTACCTGGTTAATAACATCCTTCCAATGATTGCTCAATTTGTATCCATCTTCTCGGTTAAAGTTATGTCTATGTTTATATATCTGGATGGCTTCATGAACAAACCTTTGATAGTAGCCCGAAGGTTTGCAGAGTACCTTGGTTTCAGAAAAAACTATATCATGCGAGCCCACAGCGTTATAACAATGGTCAACCATGGCAGAGGTATTGGTTCTGCCGTGTTTCAGATCTCCCTTGTGTTCGCGCACACGGTCCGAGACATGTCGTTTTGTTTTCTCAATGTAGCTGCTACCGCAGGTACAAATCAGGTTTGTAGACTCCAGATGGGATTAGATCATGGATTAAGAAGGTACTCCACATCGGCCAATCGTCTCCACTATCAACTCACCTACCTACAAACTGGCCCGTTTTCTGTCTGATACCTTGCTTTCATTCATGGGCAAGACTACCTTAGTAGTACATAACAGCTCACTTGGTCTCTCTAATCAAGGGCATTTCACTGTCCCCAGATGATTTGCTCATCAGCTTTGATGTAGTTTCTCTGTTGTTCAAGGTTCCTGTACCTGACACTTTAGCAATAATTGAAGATTTAGTCCAACATGGACTGAATCTTGATGTACCTACTCTGGTTAGGCACTGCCTTACCAACACTTACTTCACTTGAAATGGTACTTTTTACAAACAAAATGAAGGTACCCCCATGGGTTCCCCCTCATCACCAGTGATAGCGAATGTTTTCATGGAGAAATTTGAAACAGATGACATCCAGACATCCACCCTATGTCCTTCCTTGTGGAAGAGATATGTAGATGACACTTTCGTCATTTCGCCACATCAATTCCATACACCCATCCGTCAAATTCACCATGGTAGTGGAGAAGGATGGTAAGCTACCATTCCTGGATGTTTTGTTTGAGAAGAGACCTGACGGCTCGTTGGGACACTGTCTACAGGAAAGCCACCCACACATATTCCTATCTGAAACCTGATTCCCACCACCATCCGGCACAGAATAATTCCCTCATCAAAACACTACACCATAGGGCCCACTGCATTTCCGACCAACACCACCTAGCCAGTGAACTGGAACACGTACACCAGGCCCTCAAGATGAATGGGTACTCGGATCGCATTATTCGCATAGCTGTTTCTCCAACCATGAAGAAACAACCCCCTGAGAAGCTAATCAAAACCATCACATTACCATACATAGCAGGTGTTACCAAAAAGATTTCCAAAATTTTAAACAAACACAAGATCTAGGTCCGATTCAATACAGTACACAAAATCCGTGATCTAATCCCATCTGGAGTCTACAAACTGAGTTGTACCTGCGGTAGCAGTTACATTGGGGAAACGAAACGACATGTCTCGGACCGTGTTCGCGAACACAAGGCAGATCTGAAACACATCAGAACCAATACCTCTGCCGTGGGTGAACATTGTTATAACGTTGTGGGCTCACATGATATAGTTTTTTTCCGAGACCAAGGTACTCTGCAAACCTTCGGGCTACTATCAAAGGTTTGTTCATGAAGCCATCCAGATATATAAACATAGACATAACTTTAACTGAGAAGATGGATACAAATTGAGCAATCATTGGAAGGATGTTATTAACCAGGTAAAACCTTAATTGTTCATGGTTGTTCTATCATATCTGCCGGGTACTAGTCTATTTTTCGGAGTTATTTCCCCCCCGCATCCCCAGCGTTCCCAGCCTCCCACCCACTTCCCCCAAGCTTCACGTCCTCTCTCCCCTTAACGGTAATGCAGCGCCCCCTCATACCCCTATCCCCCCTCTCTCTCTCCCCACTTGCTCCTCTACTCTTTCTTACCAATATAACATCTTGCCATAGCAGCTCTCTCGCCCACTACATTGGCATTGTTGCTGCATTGGCATTGTTGCTGCATTGGCATTGTTGCTTCATTGGCACTCGTGCACCGCCCATGCTCCTGGTGCTGTTGATACACTTGGGCTACGCTCATCCCAAACCCTTATAAACTGTCTGCGTTTAGAGGCTGACTCCTTTGCCTGATGACGACCGCTTGTGTTGCGATCGAAACGTCGTGATTTGTTTTATTTTATTTCTAATTACGTGACTTTACCAAAAGAACCAAAGACCAATTAGTAAAGTTTGTCACATGAACAAAAAGTGCCAATTCGTTTCTCCTTTAGCACACTGATGTGTTGGACTAACCCAAAAAAACCTTTATTATGGATAATATTAGTTGTGAAAGTCTAGGTGTTAAATCCTCTACACTCCTAACCCCTAAACCTCAATACCCTATAAACCTCTAACCCTCAAAACCCCTAAACTTCGAAAACCCAAATCTCCTAAACCCCAAACATCTAAATCCCTAAACTTATAACCCTCTAAAATCCAAACCCTCCAAACCAATAAACATCTAACAATCAAAACCCATACACTCTCTAAACTTCTTAAACACCTAACTCTCTAAACTCATAATCTTCTAAACCCTAACCCAATTAACTCCTAACCCTCTAAACCCCTCACTCCTCGAAGCACCTATACCATAAAACCCTAAACCTCTGAACCCCGAAACTAAACCCCTAAAAAAACCCTAAACTCTAAAACCTATAACCTTCTAAATTTCTAACCCTCTAAACCACTAAACCTCTACATATCGAAACCCATAAAGCCTCTAAACCTTTAAACACCTAACTATTTAAATCTCTTAACCCATAATATTCTAAACCCTAACCTTCTAAAACCCTAACCCTCTGAACCCCTAACTCTTTAAGTCCATAAACCCCTAAAACAATAGCCATCTAAACACCTAAACCTCTAAACCCCTTACCCTTTAAAACCCTCCCTCTAAACCCTTAAACCCATCATCCTCTAAACCTGTCAACCCATAAACTTAGTCCAATAAGTATCGAACCCTCTAAACTTCCAACCCTCTAAACCCATCACCCTCTAAACCCCTATAGCCCTAAATCCCTATACCCCTAAACCCCTAACCCTCTTAAACCACTAACCCTCTGTGTGGAGTATGTTGGGTAGTGGGTATCACGCTGTGGGTGGGTGCAGGGTGTGTGTGGTGGGTGGAGGGTATCACAGGGTGGGTGCAGGGTGTGGGTGGTGGGTGGAGGGTGTGGGTGGTGGGTGGAGGGTATCACAGGGTGGGTGGGTGCAGGGTGAGTGTGGTGGGTGCAGGGTGTGGGTGGTGAGTGGAGGGTATCACGGACTGGGTGGGTGCAGGGTGTGTGTGGTGGGTGCAGGGTGTGTGTGGTGGGTGCAGGGTGTGTGTGGTGAGTGGAGGGTTTCACAGGGTCGGTGGGTGCAGGGTGTGTGTGGTGAGTGCAGGGTGAGTGTGGTGGGTGCAGGGTGTGTGTGGTGAGTGGAGGGTTTCACAGGGTGGGTGGGTGCAAGGTGAGTGTGGTGGGTGCAGGGTGTGTGTGGTGGGTTCAGGGTGTGGGTGGTGGGTGCAGGGTGTGTGTGGTGGGTGCAGGGTGAGTGTGGTGGGTGCAGGGTATCACAGGGTGGGTGGATGCAGGGTGTGGGTGGTGGGTGCAGGGTGAGTGTGGTGGGTGCAGGGTGAGTGTGGTGGGTGCAGGGTATCACAGGGTGGGTGGGTGCAGGGTGTGGGTGGTGGGTAGAGGGTATCACAGGGTGGGTGGGTGCAGGGTGAGTGTGGTGGGTGCAGGGTGAGTGTGGTGGGTGCAGGGTATCACAGGGTGGGTGGATGCAGGGTGTGTGTGGTGGGTGCAGGGTGAGTGTGGTGGGTGCAGGGTGTGTGTGGTGGATGCGGGTTATCACTGACTGGGTGGGTGCAGGGTGTGTGTGGTGGGTGCGGGGTATCAAGGACTGGGTGGGTGCAAGGTGTGGGTGGTGGGTGGAGGGTATCACAGGGTGGTTGGGTGCAGGGTGAGTGTTTTGAGTGTGGTGAAAGTCGTCAGGGTTCACACCAATCCACCACCTCTACCACCCCTACTGTGCAGTGGACCGGCCACCACAAAGCAGCACACGTCGGAGGAGTGAGCGGATGGCTCTCCCTATGCGGGCCAGGCTCCCTTGCTTCCTCTTCTCCTGCTGTACCATCAACTCCTCCACCAGGGTCTCCTGTACCACCAACTCCTCCACCAGGGTCTCCTCAAGTACTACCAACTTCTCCACCAGAGTCTCCTGTACCACCAACTCCTCCACCAGCGTCTCCTCAAGTACCACCAACTCCTCCACCAGAGTCTCCTGTACCACCAACTCCTCCACCAGAGTCTCCTGTACCACCAACTCCTCCAACAGGGTCTCCTTCTGTATCTCCAACTCCTCCACAAGCGTCTCCTGTACCACAAACTCCTCCACTAGGGTCTCCTGTACCACCAACTCCTCTACCAGCGTCTCCTCAAGTACCACCAACTCCTCCACCAGAGTCTCCTGTACCACCAACTCCTCCACCAGAGTCTCCTGTACCACCAACTCCTCCACCAGCGTCTCCTGTACCACCAACTCCTCCACCAGCGTCTCCTGTACCATCAACTCCTCCACCAGCGTCTCCTCAAGTACCACAAACTCCTCCACCAGCGTCTCCTCCTGTACCACCAACTCCTCCACCAGGGTCTCCTCCTGTACCACCAACTCCTCCACCAGAGTCTCCTCTTGTACCACCAACTCCTCCACCAGAGTCTCCTCCTCCTCCAGCACCACCAGCTCCTCCACCATGGTCTCTTCTTCCTCCACAACCTTCAACTTCTCTTTAGAGGCCTGGGCGAGCAAGGAGGATGGGCGCTGTGCCGGCTCCACTCTGTGAAGAGATGCGCACGACACCGTTCCAACTTCCTGCTCCAGCAGAAATCAGTCCCCCCCATCCCCCCCATCGTCTATGGGTGGACTAACTGTGTGCCGCAGAAGATTAACCCAGCTAATTAACAGTGCCGCAATAATGCAGCATACCTTTGCCCACCGTGAGTCTGGTTACAAAATGGGCATTAGTCTGGCGGTGTCTCAGTGGATGAAGGGCAACTTGGGAAAGATGTTGCCGCTTCATTATCTGTCCTCACCCAGAAACCAATTATGGAAAAATAAATCCGTATATAACCGAATCTACACGTTCTCTTTGGCTGGAACTCACAGCCAGAGAGGACCTGGGTTTGATTCCCATACGTGGGCCACTGTTTCTGTGTGGAATGTGGAGTGTGTTCTACCAACCACCCTACCCTGCCTGCCCCCCCCCCCCCCCTGCATGGGTTCCCAGAATCAGAATCTTTCTTTAAACTGGATGAAGAGGAGTCTGATGAGCTATGAAGCTCTTCTTTCACAGATGTCCAGTCAAGTCACAGGGTCAGCAGGTTATAACAACAAACAAAACAAAAGGAGTCCAAAGTATACCAAAAAAAGCGTATAAATACAGATGGCTTAAGTAAATAAAATCCTGTCAGTTTTTCAACACTAAATGCAAGCTTGTGCAACGCAGTGAAACAGCAACAAAAACAGCCTCACACCACACCAAGACAACACAATCCTTCAATAAAATTGCAAATTAAAATTTCACTTCCATTCCTCTGGGTTTGGCAACTGAACCCTCACAAACACGCTGTGCAACCAGTGTTGGATGGACATCTCCACCAGTGTTGTAAATTGAACCTCCAAATAACTCAATTGGGATCGTACAGTAGCAGTACATTTGTTCTGTACTGCAAAATACTTGGCAGGACCCTCCTGAAAAAAGTATTGAGACTGAGTGAGGCTATTGCTGGCTAAATAAGCGTAGAAGTAGTAGCAATGAAGATAACTAGATATTAAACACACACACACACAGGAGCAGAGTCGTCCCCCGGGTACGGTGTACAGGGGGTGACCACCCCGGGCCCCGCGCTTTGGGGGGCCCTGCGGTTCGATGTCACGGTGTCAGGCGTAATACTTCCGTTTAACACGTAGGCTATCGCTCCAGATTGGCTCACAAGTGATGACATCACATTTATCACTCTATTTAAGACCGAAAGAGGAGGATTTCTCCACGATTCGTAAGCCCACACGGTGTAACTTGCTCCAGGCCCCGCACCCCCCTATAGACTGCCATGACCACTGGACAAGCAGATGGTGGCTTACCGTCGCTCAGCAGCTCCAGAGTGCTTCACACTGCCAGGAGCAGCAGCGGTGGTGGTGGTGGCTTTGCTGGCCGTGGTGGTGCTGGTGGCCGCAGTCCGGAGCCAGTTATGAGCCAGCGCCTGCACTGGCGTCATACGACAATTCGGATCCCATCTGTTGAGAGATGCACGGGGGACACACGCGGCCACGTGGTGAGAGAGGCATGGTGAGAGCTTTGATGTTCCTTCCCTTCTCCCACGAGGTCCAGGAATGCACAGCAGCAGCGGAAGCCACAGTAGCAGTGGCAGTCCTCTGATGCCCAGCAGCGGCTTGGACAGACCTCCCACTCCTCTACAGAGGGCTAACTCCACAGAGGGCCAGTGGTACCGCTTATTGGCAGGTCCACTCAGCTCCACATCTTCCTGGTGATCGGTGGAGAGCGGTCGCCAATCAATTGGAGGGGGGAATCCTCGTGGGGAGGGGGTGGGAGTGGTGGGTGGTTCTTACCGCAAACAGGAGCTGATGAATTCGACAAACTCCGGGTCATCGCTTTTGAGCACCCTGTGAAGTGGGAAGCTCCCCGGAACCCTTTTCTTGCCTGGGCAGAACATCTTCCCCCGATGGTCTGCAGGATCCATGCACAGCGGAAGAGACGAAGTCACCAACCACCACATCGCCCATCTACCCACTTACTGACCGATTCATCAACCCACTCATCCACCTACCCACCCATACACTCTTCCACCTACCCAATCGCTCACTCACCTATCCACCTACCCACTCACCCACCCACTCATCTACCCACCCACCCACCCTCTCGCTGACCCACTCACCCAACCACTCACCCATTCGCCCAATTACCCACCAACCTACTCGCCTACTCACCCACATACCCATCCACTTGCCCACACACCCATTTACCCACCCACATACCCAAGTAATGTAAAATACAAAGACGCCCCCTCCAAAACAAAATAACAACAGCCTGAGGCCACACCCTAAAACTGAATCCGGTCTGTCATTCACCCCACGCTTCAACTCACCAAAGAACTGCGTTCTGTCGGGTGCTCCATTCACCATGTACCTTGGAGGCATCCCCAGAATCTGCACATGGTTGACATGAAGACAAAGGTCACCCGTATAGCTTCGGCACACTGTCGGGACAAGTGCTGTTAGATCGAGTAGCAAAATTAGCAGCGTTTGTTGAGGGCCAGCACTGCGGCACACAGAGACAGGAGTGGCGGCTGATTTCAGCCGCATCATCTCTACATAACAAAAAGGCTCAGTCCCTTTTACACGCACCTTTACATCATCCGCACCTAGTTTACACAACAAAGGCTCATTCCTAACAGCGTGCTTCAGCCGCACCGAACCTCACAAAAATAATATTCAGGGACTACCTTGGCTCCTCCCACCCTCAACCAGTATATATACAAGGACTGTTTCTTGGAATTTCTCTCACTTGATACAGCTATCGTGCTGTGAATGTTCCACCTGAAGACGGAGGCTTGTGTTGCCTCCGAAACGTCGTGATTTTTATTTTATTTTTATTTTACTTTAATTATTTTTTTATTTTTTACCTACGTGACTTTACCGAAAAAACCTAAGAATATGAATCCTTGCAGTCACGAAAGCTTCAAATCTAGAATTGACCCAGGTACTTTACACACTCCACCAGGTACTCAGTTGAGGTTGTCTCGAACTAGAGGAGGCCCAGGACCAGTTCAGACAATCGTCACTGGTGTTGCCCATGAGCTGGAATCAACCTCAGTTTCTAGCACAGCAGGCTGACCGCTACACTACCGCTCCCCCACACAAACAAGACACACACGTGTACACGCAACATACGATGGCCGTTATTCACAGATCACCAAGTGGCCAACCCCCCCTCCTGCCACCCCCATAGCCCACGACTCCAAGGAAAGAGAGGGGGATCACGAGCGGACAGACGCCGTGTGGGAAATACCTCTATGCAGCGCGGGAGGTGATCTTCGTGGCTGTTGGACCGGAATAATTCCCTGCCCGTCGCCAACTCCGCCACCGTGCAGCCCAGCGCCCACATATCCACTCCACATGTCAAGCTATAGCCCAGCAACAGCTCCGGAGCCAAGTATTCTAGGGTGCCACCAACATTCATAGCTGTACAAAAATCACAAGGACAACAAACATATGTGCGTGTGTACACACTGTGTCTTAAACAGCATCATCATCAAACACATAAACAGTCACATGTACAGACACTCAGATACTCACACACAGACACACTCAGACAGACACTGACATATGGACACTCACACGGACACAGAGAGACCCATGCATAAAGACAGCCATACAGACACCCACACGCAGACACTCACACACCCAGGTGAGGTCACTCACGTTGACTTTCCACGAAAAAGCTCGTGCCAAAGTCCGTGATCCTCACGGTGCCAGTCACAATGTCTTTGACGAGAACATTTTCCTGGAGGAGGGGTAGAATGAATTCAAACTCAGAGGTTATGCCGATATCATTCAGCCAGCAGTGGATCAATCACATACCACGACACACGCTAAACAGGGGAACTAGATGAGGCATAGCGCTGTCGACAAGCGTCAGTCAAGTGCAATATTCGCTGTTTCCTGATAGCTGTCACTGGGCGGAACCCCTTTCAAATTTGTCAAAATTAAATTTCGATTTAAAGCTTCTTTCGTGACTGCAGGGATTCATCTTCTTGGTTCTTTCGGTAAAGTCACGTAGAAGGGAAGTAATAAAATAATAAAAATAAAACATAATAAAACAATTCTTACGACGTTTCGGCCACAATGCAAGCAGCCGTCCTCAGGTGACCTGGTTTTCACCTGAGGACGGCTGCTTGCGTTGTGGCCGAAACGTCGTGAGAATTGTTTTTATTATGTTTTATTTTTATTATTTTATTACTTCCCTTTTACGTGACTTTACCGAAAGAACCAAGAAGATGCGTCAAAATTGTAGATGTGAGTAGAGGCGTGTCACGTTCAAAGCACTCTCAGGCACCATCAAAGTAAAGGGGGGTGGCTCTATTGACAACCGATTGCCGTTGCTCCAACAGGAGAGCTGCATGGAGGTCACAGCTCGATGAGTGCCCGTTAACGAGTTAGAGACAACAAGCCACGCACAAGAGAGTGCACGGATTCCGTGACGCTTTCCACTGCACCTTTGTCTTTGGACGTTTTCAATTTGCAGATTGGAATTCGATAACGAGCAGTTGTCAGGCCAAAATGCACATTTCGCACGTTTTAAAAAAAAATATTTTTGACTCCGTTTCGTGTCTCCCAGGGTTTGGGGCAACGCTGATCAACGTTGCCGGTTTTCTCTCTGGTGAGTCCCCAAGAGTGACACGACTCTACACTATAGTTTAATTCATACCAGATCACATTCACCAGAGGAGCATGGTCCTGCCTCCTTCCAATGAGATGGGCAGAGCTTACATATCGACTCTGTGACGAACATGGCCGGTTTTCTCTGTGGAACGAGTCCCCAATAAACATACACCTCTGCAATCTTAATTTGTAGCTTTCGTGACTGCAGGAATTACTCTTTGGTTATTTCGGTAAAGTCACGTATAAAGCTTGCGTACTTTGTCACCCATCGTCCTACTCATTGACATGCTACTTTTTTCTCTAACCCCTCCCTCTCTCCGCCCCCACCCCCCTCTCTCTATTTAAGGCCTCGTCACAGAGACGCTCTCTCTCTGTGTGCCGATGTGTGTTCTCTCTCTATGTATATTTGCGATATCTGTCTGCTTATATGTCTGTCTATAGTTTTCTGGTTAGATTTTTGTTGCTATTTCTTTTATACCTGATGATGATTGCTTGTGTTGCAATCGAAACGTCGTATGCTATTATTTAATTTGTTATTTTATCTTTATACGTGACTTTACCGAAAGAACCAAAGAGTGATACACCTCTGCACCAAAGTGAAAGCTGAACGCTGTGTCCACTCACTGGCTTGATGTCCGCGTGGACGATTTTCATGGAATTGATGTGGCGCAGGAACTTGAGGATACCCCTGGTGTAGGTTTTCACCATCGCCATGTCCAACCGCCGGAGCCCCGCATTCCTAATCACTTCATGAAGGCTCTCCCTGTGAGAGAGGCAGAAGCAGCAACAAAAACACGGCATCAGTACCATCCCCTACAATGCTGCACTGATTCTGATAACGATAATCACATTCATATTGTACGTTCACGTGCAAGTTTATGACCAATATTAAGAGTTATAGTTCCGTGTGGGTTGAGGTCGTCAATTTGCCGATAAACCAAATCAGTTGGCATATCTGCCCACTTGACAACTTGATTTCATTGGCTTTGTTGCCGGGTAGTGGAGGGTTATCCATTGGGAGAAGATAAAAACTCAACACAGGGATTTTCGCCGAGAGGCACAAGCATCACCACTGCCATGCAGCCACCCTGCTGATTGAGTGGAGGCGTGGGTTGGTGAAAGTGGCAGGGCTAATGGAGGAAAGACAAGTGGCCTCCAATGCACCCGTGGCACATGGCAGCTCCACAGGATTACAATGCATGGGTGGTGGCGTGGGCATCTCAACATTAACAGCTTACTCTTTGGTTATTTCGGTAAAGTCACGTATAAAGATAAAATAATAAATTTAATAATAGCATACTACAACGTTTCGATTGCAACACAAGCAATCATCATCAGGTATAAATGAAATGAAATAGCAACAAAAATCTAACCAGAAAACTATAGACAGACATATAAGCAGACAGATATCACCAAGATACATATGTTTGTCTATAGTTTTATGGTTAGATTTTTGTTGCTATTTCATTTATACCTGATGATGATTGCTTGTGTTGCAATCAAAACGTCGTAGTATGCTATTATTTAATTTATTATTTTATATTTATACGTGACTTTACCGAAAGAACCAAAGAGTAATTCCTGCAGTCACGAAAGCTCCAAAATTAAGAATTAACAGCTTGCCGCGGTGGCGAGATGACATCTCCCCCGCCTGGTATGGAGGAGGTCCTAGGTTTGATCCCGACCGTGATGCCTGTAGATTTGGAGATTGCATGTTCTCCCCGTGGGCATGTGAATTTTTCTGTGGGTCCACTGGTTTTCCCCTCCACATTTATAATCAAAATGCTACTTTTAGATTTAAAGCTTTCGTGACTGCAGGGATTCATCTTCTTGGTTCTTTCGGTAAAGTCACGTAGAAGGGAAGTAATAAAATAATAAAAATAAAACATAATAAAATAATTCTCACGACGTTTCGGCCACAACGCAAGTAGCCGTCCTCAGGTGAAGAACAGGGCTGTCGGGGAGACAGAGTCTGTCTTCCCGACAGACCTGTTCTTCTGTCTTCCCGCCAGACTTGTTCTTCACCTGAGGACGGCTGCTTGCGTTGTGGCCGAAACGTCGTGAGAATTATTTTATAATGTTTTATTTTTATTATTTTATTATTTCCATGCTACGTGACTTTACCGAAAGAACCAAGAAGAAAAATACTACTTTGTTAAGCTTTTATTTGTGGTCTGGTCGCTTCTAAAAAGTTAAGTTAGTTAACCACGTTATTGGCGGAGGGGGGGGGGCATGCAGTACATACTTCAACAGCTCCATGACGATACAGTAGTGTCCTCGGAAATGAAATATGTTCAGAACTTTGATGACGTTGAAATCTTCATCACTGCCCTCGTCCTGAAGTTCCAGAGCTATCTGGAGCTCCATCTTCTGGTATGTTTCCTGCTTGGAGCTGCACAGAGGAAGACCACAAATGAAGATCCTACATTTGCTTTAGGGATATCCAGAGCCAAATTAAATTCAGAATAAAATAATTAAATATGAATTCACCAGGTCTAACAGCACCAGGAGTTCCAGTAGCACACTCGACTATCATTGGTGAGGAGCTCCCACAGAGGGAGCAGGAGCCAACGTAGGGCACCCAATAGGATTTGGAAGTGAAGAACCATTCAAATCGGATTGGTCATTTGAGAAATCTAAATGCAAACTCATGTTAACACAACGCATTCTCACTTCAATGTGGCTCTTCCATTCGGGCACACTTTTCGCACAACGCGGAATGTGCCCGTAATAACACGAACGCGCCCATTGCAACACGGAACGCTTCTCGTTATAACGTAGAACACGCCTGTTAAAGCACGGAACCCGCCCGTTATAACACGATCTGTGAGTAGTCGACAACAAACTACTTTCTTGAGCTGCAAAGATACATTACTCGCAATGATAAAGTAACGTGACGGCATACCCTCAGTCATTGGTCTCGTCATCTCAAGGTGTATGAGTGCATTGTATCTCGCCAAACATTATTATTACATTATTTATGGTGAAATTACTTTCGCTCAATACTTTTTTGCTGAACGCGGAACTTTTCAGGAATGTATCTACAGCATTAAATGAGGAATTCCCGTAATGTGCAGGTAATCTTTCAGCAATGGGATGTTTTGCCCCAATATTAGTTTACTCTGTGTGTGTGTATATTAAGCTTTAGGGAGGAAAAATCTGAGAACCCAGAAGGAACTGATGCAGAACAGGGGTAGAACATGCAGACTCCATACAGGAGGGCACCCGAATCAGGAGTCAAACCCAGGCTCCCCTTCTCGCTTTGATGCACGATTGTCACCGCTGCATCGCACGGCTGCCCGTGGCAACGGACTTAACAACAACATCGGCCTCATGACGGTGTGGCTCTGAAGTCTTACCTCGATGGTGACACCAGGATCTTGATGGCCACCAGGATGTTTCTTTTGTGATCAAGGCATTGGATCACCTGGCCTTGACCTCCTTCTCCAATCTTCTTCAGCACCTCATAGCGATAGCGGAGGTGCTCATGCCGGAACTGCACAAAAGGTACAATCATTTAAAGTGAATATAATTAAAATCACAAAATTTAAGAAGCGAGAATGTATATTCTTTTGGTAAAGTCACGTACATAGATTCAAAGAAAATAACAAAAAACTAAAAACAATCAAAGGGTTGCCGGGTGAAAATTATCATGTTAATGACAGATTAGTATGTTCATGGAATATCGCAGAGCTGCAACCGAGAGGTCGGCACGCAAAGTGGCTGTGTTAGTGTGAAAGCGCAAGTTTGAAATGGGCATAAAGCACGACTATCATCAGAAGGTGGTAGGATGGGAAGATCATAGCCAATTGTGACTTAAACAGGTTGGTAATGTCCTTCCAATGATTACTCAGTTTGTACCCATCTTCTTGGTTTAAATTGTGTCTGTGTCAATAAAATGGATGGCTTCATGAAGTAATCTTTGTTGATAGCCAGTGGGCTTGCAAAGTACCTTCGTCTTGGAGAAATAAATTTCGTGTGAGACCACCGCATTAAAACAATGATCAGCCACGGCTGAGGTATTGGTCCTACCGTGTTTCAGATCCTACCTAGTTTCGGATCTGCCTTATGTTCACGAACATAAGGCAGATCTGAAACTGTCGGGTTGGCTGCCCACCACTTGCATTAATATTGGCTGCTGACATTTGGGCTATGCCCATTTCAAACCCTAATAAACAGTTTGCCTTTGGAAGCTAACCCCCATTTTCCTGAAGTCGACCGATTTTGTTGCGATTGAAACATTGTAGTTTTAGTTTTTATTTTCTTTGAACCTATCTACGTGACTTTACCGAAAGACCCAAAGAATATTAATTCCTGCAGTCACGAAAGCTTTAAGTCAAGATTTAAGTGAGAATGTAATTTTCTAATATATTTTCTGTAATGATTACGTTTTTTTAATTCTGTCATTGTGGAATGTTCTGATGTCTGCTGGCTCAGTCACCCTTCAAAATAGAGCTTCTTAGCTCAATGGGCTTTACTCGCGATACAAAATTTCTGATTCTGAAGTGCATTGGTGTGTGTGATAGCCCTGGTTGGTACTTCAGGTGCAATAACAAGAAGCCACAAACCCCGCTACCGATGGGCCCTGTGACCGCCCCCACAGCTGGTGTTTTGTTGCGAGCCTCACCAGAATGTAATTTCGTTCGTAGTCGTCGTATCCATCATTGTTGCATCCCTCAGATTTGTTGAAAAGTGCAAAGTACCACACTTCCTGCATGGCTGCGAGTTCTAGCTTCTCACGGTTGGTCAAGTGAGGGCCAAAGAGAGCCATGATTTCTGCAGACATGAGAATAACGACAACAGCTGTGTGATCCCAAAGTTGAGCAATTTGTAGGAAACAATTACAGGATTGGGATGTTTTGGCCAATATCAGTTATGTCTGTATGTATGTTGAACTTCTTTTGCACCGTACGTAGGCAATGGTGCCAAATGGATACGCGGGGGAAGGACAATAAACTAAACATCAAAAGTTCTAAAGAAAGTAGTTTTCAATCGAGATGATTTAAAAGTGTATAGCTCCAGTGGCTTCCTAATCATCTTCTTGGTTCTTTCGGTAAAGTCACGTAGAAGGGAAGTAATAAAATAATAAAAATAAAACATAATAAAACCGAAAGAACCAAGAAGATGAATCCCTGCAGTCACGAAAGCTTTAAATCGAAATTTGGCTTCCTAATATCGGAGTGCATCTGAAAGCGTGTGATGTGCTGAGGCAGAGCACAGATAATCATCCCCATGCAACATGGCATCCATGATGCAGTCCCCATGCAACTGGCTACCATTAAGTCCCGCATGCAACACTGCCAACATGAAGTCCCTCATGCAACTTGGCTACCTGGATATCACCCATGCATCATGGCCGCTATGAAATCTCCAATGCATCACCGGTCACTGTGACAATCCACCATGCATCATGGCCGCTATGAAATCCCCAATGCATCACGGTCACTGTGACATCCACCATGCATCATGGCCGCTTATGAAATCTCCAATGCATCATGGCCACTGTGACATCCACCATGCATCATGGCCGCTATGAAATCTCCAATGCATCATGGCCACTGTGACATCCACCATGCATCAATGGCCGCTATGAAATCTCCAATGCATCACGGCCACTGTGACATCCACCATGCATCATGGCCGTTATGAAATCTCCAATGCATCATGTGCCACTGTGGACATCCACCATGCCTCATGCCGCTATGAATCTCCAATGCAGCACGGGCCACTGTGACATCCACCATGCATCATGGCCGTTATGAAATCTCCAATGCATCATGGCCACTGTGACATCACCATGCATCATGGCCGCTATGAAATCTCCAATGCATCACGGCCACTGTGACATCACCATTCATCATGGCCGTTATGAAATCTCCAATGCATCATGGCCACTGTGACATCCACCATGCATCATGGCCGCTATGAAATCTCCAATGCAATCCGGCCACTGTGACATCCACCATGCATCCTGGCCGTTATGAAATCTCCATGCAATCATGGCCACTGTGACATCCACCATGCATCATGGCCGCTATGAAATCTCCAATGCATCACGGCACTGTGACATCCACCATACATCATGGCCGCTATGAAATCTCCACTGCATCACGGCCACTGTGACATCCACCATGCATCATGGCCGCTATGAAATCTCCAATGCATCACGGCCACTGTGACGTCCACCATGCAACATGACCATTGTGATGTTCCACCATTCACCATGGCCCTCTGTGACGTCCCTCATTACTGTCCTTACCTTGCGGTGATTTGCTGCAGATGGAGGCGGTGCCCTCTGAGGACAGCGAATCCAAACTCACGTGGTGCAAGATTCGCCCTTACTCCCTCGCCTCTCCACCTCGGCTCATCTACACACACACAAAGACAAGGCCACCACGTAAACTTTAGCAAGATGTTGGGGAAAGAGCAGGAGGCGAGCACTGAGCCAGGATCTCTGAGATCCTGGGCTCCACAAACAGGAGGGTCCTGCCAAGATGTTGTGTCAGTTCTCAGCGTTGGGATATTTGGCCAATATCTGAGGTCACACTTGGATTTACAATGAGACAAGTGTGGATTTAGAGGACACACACAGGAAATTGGCATCCTTCAAACTGTTAAGAGACGAGGGGCTGGGCCAGGACATGCCACGGCCAGGAGGAACCAACGATGGCCGATGGTCAAGAAGAATAACGGAGCTGCAGCCAAGTATCGGAGCATGTTTGGACGTTTGAGAGGACAGCTTCCATAAAGATGGTGCGACAAAATCGGTGCTTGGTGGATTATGCCATACGCAGGATCGTGAGGCTGTAGCAGGAACTCAGGGAAGGAGCCTTCCTCCACAGTAGTGGATAGATAATAAGCTACTGTAGATTATTCACGTATAGACAGGCAGGGTACACAGACAAGATCTTCAGGGAGATACTCTGATAGATGCACACACACTCAGGCAGGCAAGTAGATGTACACTCAGGTCTATGGATAGGCGACCAGGTAGCCACACGCAGAGTGAGAGCACACGTCCATCAATACTTCACCACACGAGTCGAAGAGCCACACGTACCTCCATGGTAGCAACTTGTAGAGCAGGGTGCACAGAACTCACAGCGTCTCTCGCACAGTCCGGGTCTCTGCGTGCGGAGCAGGAGACGAAGGCGAGGATCACAAAGAGTCGAGGGGGCGTGAGGGCTCCCAGATCTCAACACGAGTCACAACGCGGGCTTACATCCTCACCATGAACCCACATCATCAACACAGACTCACATCATCACCACTCACTCACAACACGAAATACAAAAACAACAACAACCGACATTCGCCACTAAGTAGGGGTGATGACACCACGGCGTCTGTACCGGGCCAGGTGCACTTTTAGTCCACGTGAAGTGTCGAAGGCTGACAAGACGTCACGGGATAGACCCAGGTTCCAAAGGTTGGCTGAGATGACTGGCAGATACACCAGCTGTATCCCCAACTGTGCCAACTTGTTGAATTTTATCCGCTACTCGCTGTGAGCGTCACTCCTCTGTCCTCAGTTGTTGTTGGAAGGCGACTGCCTCCTACTGCCCGTGGGATCCTTCACGAGCTTCCTCGTGAAGGATGCTATCCACACCGCTGATACCAGTCTTCTGCAAGTCCACTCAGCTCCACATCCTCCCATACAGCATCAGTCCATATTTTTTGACAGCCCATGTCGTGCCCGTTTAACCTCCTTTATGCAACCAAAATAAACTGCTTGGGTATGCGGTCTACAAGACCCAGCCAATGCAGCCTTGCCTGCTGGAGGAGCTTACTGGGGAATGTCTCCAGATCTTTCAAGCATTTGTGAGCCCCTCACACAATCCAGCCTGGTTAAACCCAGGATGGATCGTACAATCAACACCACCATCAACACCACCAACACCAACAATACCACCACCAACAACAACAACAAGACTATCACCACCATCAACACCATAACCAAAAACATCACCAACACCACCCCCATCAACATCACCTCCATCAACACCACTAACACTACCACAACCAACACCACCACCAAGACCACCACCACCAACACGACCACCAACAACACCACAATCAACAACACCACAATCAACAACACCACCATCAACACCACCACCATCAACACCACCAACACCAACAATACCACCACCATCAACACCACCAACACCACCACCAAGACCACCACCAACACAACAACCACCAACACCACAATCAACAACACCACCATCAACACCACCATCAACACCACCAACACTAACAATAAAACCACCATCAACATCACCACCACCAACACCACCACGAAGAACACCAACACCACCACCACCAACAACACCACCATCACAAACACACCAACACCACCACCATAACCACCAACAACACCACCATCACAAACAACACCACCAAGACCACCACCATCAAACCCACCAATACCACCACCATAAACACCAACAACACCACCACCACTAACAACAAAGAAAGATCCCCCTTATAGCTGAAATAGACTGTTGGGGCAAGTGCTGTTAGCCAGCAGTACCTATGAAGGGCAGAACGGCACACGAGGGGGTGGGTGGCCAGCACCACGCCCGGCCGCCTTTGTCTCCCTAGTGGCGATGTTTACACACACAGACTCACACACACACACAGACTCAACCACACACAGACTCACACACCACAGACTCACACACACACAGACTCACACACACACAGACTCTCACACACACAGACTCTCACACACACAGACTCACACACACACAGACTCACACACACACAGACTCACACACACAGACTCACACACACACACACAGACTCACACACACAGACTCACACACACACAGACTCACACACAGACTCACACACACACAGACTCACACACACACACAGACTCACACACACACAGACTCACACACACACACAGACTTACACACAACAGACTCACACACACACAGACTCACACACACACAGACTCACACACACACAGACTCACACACACACAGACTCACACAGACTCACACACACACAGACTCACACACACACAGACTCACACCATTTCTCACCTTCGCCAGATGCTCCCCCCGACTCTCTAACGGACAAACTGCCTGAGGGAGACACGAGGGGGCGGTACCAAGTGACCACGCCCACTATGACGTCGCAGACCTAAGCCCCTCCCACCCACCGGAGCTCCTCCCCCCACCGGAGCTCCTCCCCCCCATGCCCAACCCCTCGCCCCGCCCCTTCACCCCCCTCGCCCCGCCCCTCCCCCCGCTGCTACTTCCGCTGAGGCCGGGGCGAGTGGAGGCGGCGCTGTGCATTGTGGGTGGCGAGCGGACGGTTTGGATTCCCGCTCGCGGCCACCGTCGGCGGCTCGCTGGCTGGGCCTCCTCTAGGTCGACTCAGCCCGAACAAGGCGAGCACTTGCACGCTGTGGACGCAGCAGCAGCAGCAGTGGCGGGGTGGGGGGGGGGCAGAGGAGGCGCCTGCTGAGTTCACGGCCCTGCTGCTGCTGATGATGATGAGGAGAGGCACTGCCAGATTGTGGCTGATGGGATGAGTTACATTTAGTTGTTTGTGTCTCTGAGGGGGCGGATTTGTTGTCGTGGCAGAAATGGCCTCGACTAGAGGCCGCGATGTGGAGTGTTTGGTCTACTCTTCCACGCTGGGCGTGCCCGCACTTTACCCCGATACACACGCGGGGCGTGAGCTCACTGGGCTTGCAATGCAGAGGTGCAGGTTCGAGTCCATTTCACACTCAGCCACTCGGCCACTCACTCAGTCACTCACCCACCCACTCAGCCAGCCACTCAGCCACTCACTCACCCATCACTCACCCACTCAGCCACTTACTCACCCACAGAGGGATACAGACCATTTATGCAGTGGTATTGTAGTATCTGCGTCAATGTTTGTGTTGTTTGGTTATGGTGGTGGTTGTAGTGGTTATGGTGGTGGTTA